ATGCCAGGGGTTTAAGTGGAGAGAAAATGTTTTGAGAATGATGAGGGCAATGAATGTACAAATGCGCTTTACACAATTGATGTGTGTATGGATTTTGATAAGAGTTGTATGAGCCCCTAATAAAATGATTTTAAAAAAATAGAAAATACCAGGAAAAAGTATACTAATTCATAAGCTGATGCTAAGATTAGTGATCTTGAATTAAAAATGCAATTTGAGAACTTGTATGGAAGAGTATATTTTAAAGTAAAGTTAATGCTTGCAACTATAGTGTTTCTTAAAAGGAAAATTTCAGAATTAATTAGATTTGTTTAAAAATGTTTTTGTTGAGATACACTAGTATTTAAATCAATTCTAGATATGGCCATTCAATCAAGAACTATTATAAAAATTGTCAGTGACATACTACACATACTTGGGATCTATTAGATCCTCATGTACTTGTGTTTACTTCACATAATTGCACATTAATGTTTCATAGTAGGAGAAAAAACACATTTTAAGATGAGTAGTATTATAACTAACAAGTATCTTATGGAAATGAAAGGTTGCATTTTTCCTTCTTTTCATCCCATAGGGCACCTAAGATTAATGTGGAACAAGGTCAGGATATTTTGGAAATCTTACAAGACTGTTTTGAAGAAAAAAGTAAGGCTTCATTTTTATATGGAGTGGGAGGGTTGAAATGGATAAAAATATAAATTTGTCATATTGTTCAGTAGTCAAATGCAACAAATGTACTCTAGTATTCAAACTTAAGTAAAATATTTTCCTGGAGATTTTGAAAAATATATGTAATAGTTCATGTGCTTTTATATATCTTTCCAGTATACTTTGGATAATGCTGGTCAGAATGTCATCCATTTTAGTTCTCACTAAATTAGTCTGAAAGTCCTTAAATAATTATGTAAAAGAGAAGATATGTCATATAGTGGAAATAAGTGTGCAGAAGTCTAGGTAATTTGAGATAATTTTGATTTGCACTCTTTTTTTAAGAAAATGGTGAAAAAGTGGTCACCATTAGAAAGTAAGGATGAAAGTGCAGCTTTTTTACAAAGTCTGGAAGAAGAGCTGGCACACATTTCTTTTAGAAAATTTTGTCCTTCTCCCACTTCTGGAGGCCTCCAGGGACACTTGTCCTTCCCCCACTTCTGGAGGCCTCCAGGGACACTTGTCCTTCCCCCACTTCTGGAGGCCTCCAGGGACACTTGTCCTTCCCCCACTTCTGGAGGCCTCCAGGGACACTTGTCCTTCCCCCACTTCTGGAGGCCTCCAGGGACATTGAATTGATCTGTACTTTGTTTAATCTAAATGTGTCAGAAGAAAGAAAAGACATCTCACCTGGAACATGGGGCTTTTAATTATAGCCAATAAATATCACACCATATTTCATTAAAAAAAATTTCATTCTTTTAGGTCTTGCCAGTGATTTTAGCGCAGATTCTATTAAATCGACTTCTCATTCAACACCCAAAAAAAAAGACAGTTGTCTTCAATCAACGAACAGAGAGGTGAGTCAAAGAGAGGAACTAGTAGGTTTAATATTTTAGTGTTAAAAGCGACACATAATATAGTGAGGTATATTTTAGTGATCTGTAATTCTTAAAAGGGATAATTTGTTACATTGAATTGTATACTTCTATAAAGTTTGGAGGTATTTGTGAAAAAATTGGTTTGATGTTTCCTGTGTTTCAGCTTATAACATGATTATCTTCTGCTTTTTCCTAAAATGATACCATCTTAGGCTGAGTTCACTACAAGAACAAAACTGAATCATATTTAATTTTATCTGTCTATATATTGAGAAAGAGAGAGAGAGGCAGAGGTTTGCTTCAGAGAGATGGCTTATTCAGTTGTGGAGACTGCCAAGTCCCACATCTGTGAGTCAGGTTTTTTCAGGCTAAATGACTTCTCTTGACTCCAGTGGTTTCTGGGACTGCAGAACCTCCAAAACAGCAAGTCAGGTGGCAAGCTGAAGAAGCTGATGAATTCCCAAATCTGCAGATTCAGTGTCAGGCTGCTAGCTAATGTCCTAAGAACCAGAGGTTAGAGCATGATGAGCAGAATTGAAAGACCTTTGACAGAGCATTTCTTTGTACTGATACAGACTACACCTCCATGGAAATTTGCCGTACAGTAAATCACAAGCATGGAGGATAATTACATAATCATGGATCAAATTATGTAATCAATGTGATCAAACATAACAATTGTCAGATTGTCACAGGTCTCTTATTTGAGCTTTTGATTTCCTCCATTTTCCTTTATTTCATGTAAGTAGATACAGATAGATGGCCATGTGCATGCTGTTAAGACCCTATTCACTATTCACTAAACTAGGCTGTAGAACATTATCTTTATGAACTATGATGTATATGTTATGCCAATTGGCTGAGCTATCCTACATGTTTCTTTATGGTTCTAAGCCTTCAAATCAACTAAACCAGTCCCATAAGATGTTTGGTTACCTAACTGTCCCATATGTGGTTAATGCAGCACACACATGCATTTATGTACATAAGCCTACAGATACACCTATACCTGCATACCCATGTATTCATTGTGTATTTTCCTGTATACATATGTGCATATGTTTCTACTTATTTTTTTGATTTGTGGTTGTTGCTGTAAAATTGTATATTAAAACATTTACCAAATTGCCCCTTATTCTGTTCTGTTTCTTAGTGTCTTCATTTACCTTAAGTTGTGCAAGCTTCATGCATACTGGAATTGCCTTTCCCATCATAAAAAACCCCCCAAGTGTTTACTACCTCTTAATGATAAAAAAACATTGCTGTCAATATGTATACTTTTTCTTGACTTTTTATAAAAGTGAGACCATGCAATATTTGTCACTTTGTGACTGACTTATTTCACTCAGCATATATCTCCAGGTTCATTCAGAGAGGTTTCACAGATTCATCACTGTTCATATTCCATTGTATGTATGTACCAAAGGAGTGTTGGTGGCATAGTGGTTATACGCTAAGCTGCAAACTGTAAGGTCAACAGTTTGGAATCACCAGGCACTCCATGGGAGAAAGGAGGCTTTCTATTCTGTAAAGAAGTACAGTGTGTGAAACCTGCAGGAGCAGCTCAGCTTTGTCTTATAGGGATGCTCTGAGTTGGAATCGACTCGGTGGCAATGAGTTTTGAGTTTGGATGTGTATACCACACTTTGTTATATATTCAACTTTTGATTTACATTTATATTGTTTCTGTTTGTTATTTCGAATAATGCTGTAATAGGCATGTGTTCACATGTCTGTTCATGTCACTGCTCTTCTATATCTAGGCTGTACACCTAGGAGTGAGATTGTTGGATCATAAGGTAGTTTTATTGGTGGCATTTTGAGGAAGCACCATACCATTCCATAATGGTAATACAGTTTTACAGTTCCACTAGCAGTGTATAAGAGTTTCAATTTCCCGACAGTCTCATGAACATTTGTTGTTTTCTATTACTTTGATCATTGCCCTTTCACAGGGATGAAATGGAATCTCATTTTGGTTTTAATTTGCTTCTCTCTGATGACTAATGGTGGTGAGCATGTCTTCATATGTTTGCTAGTTGTCTGGATGCTCTTTTTGATGAACTGTCTGTTCTGTTCATGTTCTTTGAGCTTACACATGTTAAAACCTCTTAAGCTAATGAAGTTTCAAGAGAGATAGTAAGTAAATGAAAACCTGCCTTTGTGTCTTTATGGAATTGAATTCCAAAGTTTATATACTGAGTGATTTCTAATTGTTTATATTAATTGTAAACCCATTATTTAATTTTCTTGGTAAATTTTCAGGTTGTTGTTTCATTATCATAAACAGTGATATAATGCGCATCTTTGTTTATGTTTATGTTATAAATGGAATTATTATAGAATATGCACAGTTTGAAATTAAATTATTAAATATTGTCAAATTTCCCTACAAAATGGTTTGTCAATTTTTCTTCCCACTTTCTGTCTAAATGTGATTTTGTCTTTCTGAATTTTAAAAATTTGTCTTGACCTACTTTAAATTTACAAAAGAAACTATATAGTGCTTGTAAGGTATTAAAATAACTTATATAAGCATCTTTGAACTCATTCTGAAAATCAAACCCACTGCCGTGGAGTTTCTTCTGGCTCAGTAACCTTATAGGACAGAGTAGATCTGCCTCTGCAGGTTTCTGACACTGTAAGCCTTTATGGGAGTAGAAAGGCTCATTTTTCTCCTGAGGAGCAGCTGGTGATTTTCACTTGCTGACCTTGCACTTAGAAGCTCAACACATAACTCGCACTGTTAATGCTCAGTGTAAAAATAACCAATACCCTTGAATCATCTGTGTGTCCCTTTCTGATTCTTTTTCTTCCTTTCCCTTTTTGTAGAGGTAACGACTCTTGAATTTCATGTTCATCATTTTTAACCTGTACTTTGTATTTTCGTCACATAAGTGTGCTGATATTTGTTAACAATTCTCACCCCTCATATATCAGAAATCCTACCACCATCTGTGTGCTTAATGTGCTTCACTAGTAAGAACCATACGATTCAGCATAGTTGACTCCTTGCTGAGATTTATAATGGCCACACAGTCAGCATACACAGCCAAATTGGTAATGGAAAAAGACACATCAGGCAAAGTTTGGAGGAATCCATGTACAGGTTCGTTATGTTCTTCCCCAAAGGGGCCACACAATACACTCAATTACCTCTAGCAATGAAATGCATTATCCTGTGTTATCATTCCTGCCCATTTGAGACTCACTTCATTTTTATTGAGGGCTGAACATTTAGGCAAGGAACCCTGAAGGAGCTGTTGGGCAAGCATTGGAATGCTAACCACATGATTAGTGCTAACCACCAGCCACTTCACCAGAGAAACATGAGCCTATTCTCATCCCTTAAACGTTTATAATCTTGGAAAGCCCTGTATAGGGTTGTTAGGAGTTGGAATCAACTTGACGGCAATGGGCTGAATGACTTAGATATCTTCTGCTGCCAAAATTCCAGGCCCCTAGAAGGAAAGGAGGTATTCACTATAATTCACATTGCTTATACAAACAATATAGACAATTTGACATAGGAGACATAAACTTGCTGATTGCTATGGAGGTTATACTCTGAAAGCCAAGCTCCAGATGTTGATCAATAACTATCTCTGAAATAATGCCCTTTGATCAGCCCGGTTTTGTGCATAGAATGAATCCCTTTTGTTTTATATCTCTTTATAATCTATTTTGTGTTTTATATAAATGGGATTACTCTATATTTTAGCAATTGGGCATTTTTTGTTTTGGTCAGTAATCATTTACATGTACTCCTGTGGTTTACTAATTTTCACCCTTGTATTTATGATATTCTGTAACCTCAATAATTTATTCAGTATTAGTGAATAGTTTTTTGCTTTATAGAACTATATTGTTTTGTCATTAGAAATGTATTATATGTCATTTCAGCTTGATAGTGCCAAATTGTTTTCAAAAGTAGTCATTTCAGTTTTTAGCATTGCAAACTAGATTGTAGTTTTTAAATCCTATACTCCCCTCTCTCCCCATTTTTAAAACAATTGTATATAGTAACAATTGATCATTTTACTAAAGTAGATCTAATGTGTAATTTTCCTGTGTTCAGTGCCAGAAATCACATCCAGAATCACTTCCAGTTTCTTCAAGGAAGAAAGAAGACAGTTTTCAAATAAAGGAACCAAATAAAGATGTTAGCAAATCAGGTTTGTTAGCATCCCCATGGATGTTATTTGCCTAGATACCTTTAGAAGATTAGAATTGCAAATCAATGGAGTGACAAGTTCAGGGTTAGTCTACAGAATTATGAAGTGGATGAAGATGATTTTGATTCTCTTTCAAGTCCATGTCCAGTGCCCCTTTTTTTTCTTTCATTACTCTTTTTCTTTCCTCAATTATATGTGCTGCTACTTTCTAAAAGTTGTCTTCATTTACATTTTAAAATTATAAAAGTATTTCATCTGTGGCTACAAAGATTTAAAAGAGAAAGCTAGTTAATACTCCCATCATCTTGCTTGGTATTCATGAATAAGAAGAAATATAAATGCATACATGTGTGTTCACTTTAGAAGAAGCCATTGGAATTTTCTGTATCACTAGTAGTGTTTGAGTGTACCTTTCAGGCTGCTGAACATATACTATTCTAGATATTTGCTAGTCTGGGAGTTATGAAGTTATCTATTCTGCCATTTTAGTTTGAACACCTTTTTATAAGTTTATTGACTACCTGAATTTGCTTTTTAAAATCTTTTTGTCATTTATATTTCATACATAGTTCACTCCATATGAAATGGGATGTTATATAATTGGATGTAGTCGCTGTACAGTCTCTCATTTTGAACAACTTCTATAAAAGCCTATTAAGCTCATAGGAACCTACTGAATGAAACCTGAGGGCTGTATCCACTGGATACAGCAGGCCAGCCTGGCAGGGTGTGCCACTGTGGGCCTCTGGTGGGGACTGCACTTGTAGCTGGATCAGGAATTTGTGCATGTCTGGACCTAGAGCATTTTTTGTTATGGTATAAGGAATGATTGATGTTGTAGCATGGACATTCTGGTTATTATGTTAGGTAACTCTTTTATTAAATCTTATCAGACAGTTTCTCTCTTTATTTAATGTATAGATTCTGGCTTTCTTTTGTAGGTTTTAATTCCACTGACAGTCCTCATAATAGCTTTTTGATCTTTTCAATTTTTGGTGCTCTTGAGATGCCATCTCTATTCTTACAGCTGCCAGCTGGATTGATTGGAAAGTGCTTTCCTGGGCTGCCTGATGTTCTTGGTCACCTTTCGCAGAAGTTAGGGTCAGAAGCTGCAGGGATTAGGTCTCCTGCTGCTACTAAGTGGTTGTGAACAGAATAATACAGGCATTCTGATAATGATCAGCTTGTTTGCTGGTGGATTGTCTGGAATATTGCTACTGCCAGTGGATCAAATGTCATCTTGGCCACTGAAGCAGAGGGTAGGAAGGTCAAAGATATCACTACTGCTGGTTTCTTGGTTTGCCTGCTGTCCTTGATTGTGGAGCACAAGGGTCCTGGGTGGGCCCAGAGGCTAGGCTATGGGCTTTTTTCATTGCTGTTCCCAGTCCATACTATTTATGAAGGAACGGTCGGAATGAATGGCCCAGGGATATGGTGTACTTGTTGAACTGCCTTGAGAGCTTGGACTTGCGGTGATACCTTAAGTATAGAGTTTCCATCTCCAGATCGTTTGGTCCGAGAGTTCAGAGTTTTCTTGTGTCCGTCTCTTTCTCCTTTGCTTATTGGGGAGTGGTTCTGGATATAAAGCAAAAACCACACTAAACTCACTGTCATTGAGTCAATGCTGACTCAAAGTAACCCTATATGGGGTTTCTGAGACTATAAACCTTTGTGGTAGAAGATAGTCTCACCTTTCTCTGGTAGACTGTCTAGTGAGTTTGAACCATCGAACCCACAGTGCCACACCGGGGCTCCTTCTGGGTAAAAAATAGGATATATTATGTAGAGATACATATACCAAACCAGTTATTATCTCATAATGACGAATAGTGACTTCATAAGACAGAGTAGAATTTCCCCATAGAGATTCCAAGGCTGTAATTTTTTCGATGCTGACTCCCTTATTCCCCCGAGGAATATCTAGTGGGTTTGAATTGTCAACTCTTTAGTTAGCAGCTGCATATTTTAATCACTATATCACTCAAGGCTTCTCATGGGAGGGTATGGGAGAATAAAAGAAAACCCATGGGACTCACCACATTGTGAGGGTCTTAACCAGTCTGCCTTCCTTCTAGTTTTCAGAGTCCTGTTAGAATTATCTTGATGCATAGCTTCCAGGGTTCATAATTGTATTTGAAGGTATACAATTTAGAGGAAAACGGAGTCTATGCCATCTTGTTCCAGAACCGTTTTGTTGGTGTCGTCTTTTTAAAATCTTTGCTTTTCAAGGGTATGAGTCAGTATGCATACTTATGAGCTAGTTTATATTTCTTTGATATTTTAAGGTTAAGGGCAACCCCATGGGAGAAAGATGAGGTTGTTTGCTCTTATAAAGATTTATAGTCTCAGAAACCTTATGTAGGGTCACTATGAGTTAGAATCGACTTAGCAGCAGTGAGATGTAGACATGTGTGATTATTTAGCCTAAAGAAAGAATATCATAATTTTTCTAGGTCATTTCATTACTTGAGCTGAATATTGTTTTTGCTACTAGTGCCATTGCAGTTCCAACTCACGGTGGCCCGTGTACAACAGAAGGAAACACCAATAACCCTGTGCCATCCTTCTAGTTGCTCTTATCTATGAGCCCGTGGTTGTAGTCACTGTGTTAATCCAGCTTGTTGAGGGGCTTCCTCTTTTTTACATCTTGTTCTTTTCTGGGGACTAGAGTATATATATTTTTTCAAATAATGAAAAATGCATCAGTAACCTTGTAAATTTTTATGTTTAAAGATTTATGCCATTTTAAAACTTCAGGTGGCTTGACAAAATGCATACCTCATTTCATTAATTTCAGAAATCTGAATTTTCAAAGTAATTACATATTTTAGTTACAGATCTTTTATTCTAACCTTAAAGACCTATCACTTTTCTAAGTTTACATCTAGTTAAATTAGTGTTATATTTTAAAGCACGTTTGATTTTAATATGAATTTTTTTTTAACTCCTATCTTTATATGCTTTTTTTTCTAGTTCACACTCATGAAGTTTACCAGAAAATTCCAACAAATGATGGTGTTGGTTTTGAAAATCCGTATGACTCGGAACATGTGTCAGGTGGAGAACAAGATGACCATCACAGTGAATCAGATGAAGAATTTTACTTATCTATTGGTTCATCTTTTGTTCTTTTGGATGAAAAGATATCTTCATCAAAAAATGCTAATCCATCTAAAACCCCAAGGAGAAAGACTTATACTTCTGAAAATTCAGTTAATATGCTATCTTCAAGTAAGAAAAGTTCTCTTAAAACCAAAAAAAGGTAACCTTATTTTTAAATAATATGAATCCTACTTTAAAAAATTAGTTTTATATTAAAGGTGGCATTTTAATTTTTAAAGTCAGGCTTTTAATTTAAGGAGTAAGGAATATTAAGATGTTATGAACATTCTAGGTTAGCAATTCTAAACCACCAGCTTCTCCTTAGGAGAAAGGCAAGGCTTTCCGCTCCTCTAAAGATTTAGTCTCAGAAACCCACAGAAGCAGTTCTGTCCTGTCCTATAGGGTTTCTTGCAGTAAGTTGGAATTGACGTCAGGCAGTTTGTCTAGTTTCGTGAGTAGCAATGGGGGAGAGAGAACTTAAGCTTGTGAGTGGCCATCTAAAGTATAACAGGGTCTCCCCATTTGGAGGAGAGGAGTGATGAAAATTGAAGACTCATTAAAATAATTAGAGAGCAGAACTGGATGGTGACAGCTAGCTCTACTAACTGCTCTGATAGGGCTCGTATTAGAAGAGTGGGAGAAAAATAATGAGTAAAATGCAAAACCCTAGGAAACAACCAGGTTTACTGGTCTGATGGAGACTAGTAGAACAAGAATGACTCTTAGTTACCCTTCAAGTCTAGAACTGAATTTAGCCCTGTGGCTCAACAGGAGACCACTTTATCAGGGGAAAAGTAACACTATTCAGGAATGCACACTTCAGAATTATCAACCATTTAGGATCAAAATGTTAAATTTGCCCAAAAGAGTAAGTTCAGAAGAGTTAGGGAATCAGGAAATGGAAACAAGGAAGAAGTGGAATAAGTGATATTGCATTGTAGGAATTACAATTACATGGAACAAAATGTGTGTAATTGTTGAGTGGAAAACTGATATGCTCTGTAAATTTTCACCCAGTTCACAATAATAATTAAATAATTAATTAAATAACGATTAAAGAAAAATTGGTAGTTAAACATTTTTGGAGTGTAGTTTACTCTGATGCACATGAAACCCCATACTTTGGAGTTGACTTGGTAGCAGCTGGTGCAGTTCCTGGAAGAGAATGGGTACCAATAAATGCTTCTTGGCTATCTTAATGGGTGCAAGGAGGTCCTCCTCCAGATACGTTATTTTCTCACTTTTAATATTATGTAATCAAGTATGTTTACATCCTAATTACTGCATTTCTTTCATGATTCTTCTAAGGGTGACTTGTTCTTTGTGTATCTAAAAGAGAGTCATTGGTAACATTTTAAAATTACCATAATTTTCACTTAATGAAAATCTTGATGGATTCTGTCAAGTCAATTTCATCCAACTTATAGCGACCCCATATGAAAGATGAGAATCACACCATAGGGTTTTCCAGACTTTTATTTTTCTTTCTTCCTACTGACTGACTATAAAGATAAGGCACATTATGCTACATATTTAGTAATAAGTACCCCAAAACTTACTACCCACAGGGAGTAATTATTACAGTAAGCATTATTTCAGACATTCTTTCATCAATTCATCAAATACTTGGTTATACAATATTGAATCATACCAATGAAATATCTTACCTTCATTCTGTTCATTGTTCTGTGTATGGGCTGAGGTATGTTTCTACAGATGAGCATGCACACATAGGCACTCTCACAAGCATGTATGCTTACAGTTAGTGGAGATATTTCTATACCAATGACTTTAAATAACTTCTTTTTCATGGTTTATTTATATTCCTTTTTCATGGTTTATTAATATTCCGTTTTAAGGATATTCTGTAATGCGTTTAACCAAATCTTAACAACCCCAGATAATTGATGAAAACTTTTTGTACTCTTTTTTCAAAAAAATAAGTTTTACTAATTTTTGTCATGTATTAATATTTTTCATTAATATTTTAAAACTCATAACACAATCTAGTTTTGTATACTTTTATCATTATCAAAGTATTAACAGTGTGCAATAAACTTTCAGTAAAAAAAAAAAAAATCTGTAGCCAAGAAAATTTTAAAAGATGCCAGCAATAACCATGTATGCAGTAAAATTAATCTTACTCGAAATTAATGATGCAAATAATTTACATAAGAAATTACTCTTAGTATCCTCTATTTCTTCAGTAAAAGGTGATTGATTAAATTTCAACCATTAACATTTTCCCCTAAACCATGTTCAATAAGAGTGAATAGGTAAAAAACAAAGATCATGACAAGGTGTTAACCCTTCACTTCAGATTTTTTGTTTGTTTTAATCTACATTCATATCTCTACAATACTCTGACAGCCAGGTTATTCCCATCCCTCACTCCAGGTCGCAGCGGAAGCACTAGAGGCTCATTTCTATTCCCTGTGTAGATCCTGCAGATGTATTTTGGGCTTCCATCATCACCCCTAGCCTTCTGCACTCTGGAGCAAAACAATTTTCACCTGACACCCTTCACGCCTTCAGATTTGGATCATTACTCTTATCAATATCCTAGGAAAGCATTTTATTTCTAAAATTTTATCTACTAGAAATGGATTGCAGGTGCAAGAATACACAAATTTCAATTTTGATGCATTTTTCCAAACGGCTCTGCAGTTAATCATAATGTTTGTTCTGCATCACCCACACACTGGTATAAGCATTCTCTGAACTCCATTTGATAGATGAGAAATGGTACCACATTTAAGCATTGCTCGGACTTCTAGTATGTATGTATTTTCTTTGAGAATCCTCAGTAAATTTGTGATTTTTTTTTCCCATTAAGAGCATGTAAAATTTTTATGTAGTCAAATTCATCAGTTTCTTCAATTACTTTCAATTTAGGTATCCTGTTTGAAATGCATTCCCCACCCTGAGATTAAACTAGTCACCTGTATTTTCCTAGAATATTTCTCTTTTTCTGTTTGTCTCTGTTGATATCTGTCTTTCCTATTTACTTGTTAATATTCATGTTTTGTGTAAGGAATCAAATTTTTTTCTTCACAGTGGCTATACAGGTGTTATATAACTCAGTAAAACTGAGTCAATTTTTCTTGCTGATTTCAAATGCTAACTTTATCAAATACTAAATTATTTTGTATCCTTGGGGGGAAATTATGAGAAAACTATAGGATATACTTAGTGTATATTCAATTCATATTTAATAAGGCTGTAAAGAGCACTAAAGAAGTTTGGAGGTAAATTTTGTATAGATTATAGCAAAATGTGTTTTCTTTCTAATGAGCTTGAAATAATTTTCTAAGAAAAAGTACGTATGTTATTTGTAATTGCACAGTTGGTATCGAGTTCTTTCTAGAGGAGTAAGGCATAAATATTGTTGGGTGTGAGTTGTGGTTAACTGGTATGTATAGGTCCGTTTCTTGGGATTTTCTCTTTCAATCTGCAAAAACCAAAGTAGACTTTCAAGATTCTTCATTTTGGGAAACTTCACTGAAATGAGTATACTTCCTGCTTATATTCTTGTACAATTCCTGGAGCCAGTAAGCCTGCTCTAAGAATTTGCTATTCAAAACAAAAGCCTGCAATTAAGGATTAAGAGCAATGGTGATATCTGGGACTTGATAGATATGTTTAATCTCAAACTTCAATCCTAGACTTTCTGATTCAGAATCTGCTTTTTAATAAGATTCTTTCCCCAAACCAAATTCAATACTCTAAAGTCAATTTTGACTCATTCATTCTCTAGATCAGTGGTTCTCAACCCTCCTAATATCGCGAACCTTTCATACAGTTTCTCATGTTGTGGTGACCCCCAACCATAAAATTATTTTCGTTGTTATTTTATAACTGTGATTTTGCTACTATGAATCGTAATGTAAATATCTAATATGCAGGATATGTATTTTCATTGTTATAAATTGACCATAATTAAAGCATAGTGATAAATCACAAAAAATATGTAATTGTATATTGCGAAATATTTATTTCTAATGACAAATAAATGAAATTTTGTCTTGGAAGTATGGTGTAGCATGGGTAACAGTCTTCACGCCCGGTACTCATATGTCGGTATATCCGCATGTGGGCAGACCCGTCTGGAGATGGATAGAGGAGCGGTGTCTCAGTCGCTAAGGCCATCGGAAATATGTTCGTTTGACCTCCAAAGGGGTCACGACCCACAGGTTGAGAACCACTGCTCTAGATGTTGCAAATGGCACAGTAAATGTTTGAAAATCAGTACTCTAAGCTATCTGTTTTTGGGGGAGTATACTTTTAACAGCTCTTTTATTTATTTCTTTGACAAATAGTTTTTCTTGAGCATTTTACCTCATATATTTCATGTCAGTTTATAAATTAGTAAATTACACAAGTGGTCTCTACATTGTTACCTTAAGGAAGTTTAGAAAGACTCAGGATTTAGTAAGCTTTGTGAATGCATTCAACTTAACTTCCTTTTAACCTTTCAATATATAGGTTAAACTTCGAAGACGACAATATTTCGAAGAACATAGAAATAGAGGATAAAGTTTCAGAAGGGCCACGGAGAAAGTCATCAGGGACATCTCAGAAAAGAACACAAGCTTCAGACTATGAAATGCAATCACAAGCTAGAAAAAGTTTTTCAGCATTGTTTTTAGAAAGCGTAAAGAGGAAAACTGAATCTAGGTAAGTTACTTAAACTGTATTTTGAGACTTTTTTCTTCAAATTCTCTGATCAATATCAAAGGTTTGTTAATACTACTGTTAACATTGATCTTTTAATGGGTCACTAATATGGCAGCTGAGTTGATGGTGAAATTTTACCTGATTAGTAAAGAGCATATAGTTTCTTCTGAGACTCATCCCCAAAATTACCTTTGACAGATTGTAGGTGGTGTAAGAAGTTGACATGCCTGAATGGTTGGAGGTTGGAGTTCACCTGGGGCACCTTGAAAGAAAGGCCTGGCATTCTCAAGGTTTGCCATGGTAAACACTAGAGTGCAGCTCTATTTAGACACATGAAGATAACAAGGGCTATCTTTCCTTGATTTGAACTTTAATAGCATCAAGGGTATATTCTAAGGTATTTTTTATTTGAATAACTGATTAAGAGGAAGTCCTTTTATTGAAGTAGAAGAGAAGCCATTGCATTGAATTAGGTTGACTGGAATTTGGGAAGTCTTCATTTTCTTTAATTACGGAGAACTAGTATGTATTGCAAATAAGTAGTAAAGCAAATGGACCAATTTTAGCAGTTTGACTATTTTTTTATGCTAGTAAATAATAAGTGAGGGCAATCAAGTATGAGTTATCCGGACTTCCTTCAAGGAGCCCAGGTGATGCAGTGGTACTTTGCCGCTATCCAAAAGGTTGGAAGTTCCGACCTACCAGCCACAGGTGGGGGTGAGGATGGGGGAAACCCTGGTGATCTATTCCCATAAAATCTTCATCTTAAGGTATGAATTGTTGATTGTAAAACTGATAAACTGCTACTGAAACAAACGTCATTCAATGCACAACGAATTTTTTTTTTAATTTCATCTTGGGAAATTCTCTGTCCTATAGGGTTGCTATGAATTGGGATTGACTCAGCCTCATACAACTACAGACTTCTTTCCAGCTTTAAAATTCTGCGATCCTATTAACAACAGTAACTCATTACCTTTAAGTCAATTCTGACTTGTTGCAACCCAATAGAACTGCCCCTGTGGGTTTCCAAGGCTAAATCTTTACAGGAGCAGAATTAGACTGCTGATTTTGAATTGCTAATCCTATGGTTAGCACCCCAGTGGATATAATCCATGATACCACCAAGGCTCCTATGATCCCAATAATGCCTATAAATAGGTGACCAGATGTTATAAAAATGCAAAGGAAGGAAGGAGTTTTAAGAGTAATGGAAAACTGAGAAGATATTTGAACTGCTCTTCATATGCTATGTAGAATGTTGTCATTTCTATGTAGATTAATATTTAGTGCCTTCATTAAACAGGTAAAAGTTGCTGCCTTTTTAGGGGGCAAGCTATTTATTTATTGTCATATACTCTTTTTAGTTCTGTTGTTAGGCATGCACCACTACATTCTTCTTCTCCAAATGATGTGAACTTGTTGGGAGATGAATTTATAATTGATGAATCAGAGAAAAGTTTGGCCAGTCAATCTTGGATTAAGATACCTGGAAAGGTAAACCTGATACGAGCAGTATCCCCTGTTGAGAGCATCGTAGTCCCCCAAGGAAGGAAATCAAGAGGACTACTTCACCATGTAGAAGTTGAGACATTGACAAATGATAAAGCTCACCCAGTAAAGGACACTCTACCCTCTAAAGGAAAGAAATTGGAACCATTGTGTTCTTCAGCAGATGAAATGGAGTATAATTGTAAGTCTACACAAGATGCAGTGTTTTCTGAGAATACAGCAAAGTCATCTGGAAATAAAAGGACTATAAAGCAACCGAAAAGAAAAGTCAAAGCCAATGTAGTTGAAGAACAGCTTGAAAGGGAACAACCTAATGATAAAAATATAAATAAGTTGCTTGCTGCCCAACACAAGTCACAAAGAAATTCAGACCAAAATATGGAAGTAGGTGAAGAGATGAGAAATGATCCTACTTCTAAAAAACAGATAAAATATGTAGGTAAGTATTTATATTAAATCTTCAGAGAAATTTTTGAACAGTTTTATTGGCATATAATTCACATGTCATATAATTCCATAATTCAGCCTTTCTTTATATCCCTGCTGTGTTTTGTGAAGAAAGCAGAGTAAACCTAAATCTCTCCAGAGCCTCAGAAGCCCACAGGCTCTTTTCTATCATTTCCATGTTTTACATATAATTTGATCCCAACTCTTGATTTTTGTTTAACTCCTACTGTGGCAGCATGGAAGAAGGAGAAAATAAAGGAGAAAGGCTAATAAATGAGTTACTTATCAGAACACTAATAAAACCGGATCATATATTTTTGAGCTTTATTGAAATAGAAAATTTTGAGGGAAAAATCCAGAATAATTTAGGTCTATTTCTTATAGAAACAAATGCTCATACTCAGTTGTTTAACTAATTACTTATTTGCCTAGTAGTCATTCAATACCAGGTTTTGCATTAGGCACTGTTAACAAAAATTAATTAGACATGATTGCTAGACTTGAAATGATAAGTGTGGTGGGATATGTACACAGTTTTAATAATGGAAGCACGGAGAATTATATATATATATATATATATAGAATTATTTTAGTATATATTTAAATATCTCAATAGTTTTTATAGCTTGGGTGATTATATAATTTGTCATCTAAACTAGGATACTTTTGAGGTGCAAGAAAATGTTTAGGTATAAACTACTATTGTCTTTGGCAATCCTGGACATATGGCCACCCTGCGTATGTCTTCAGACTATATTGTGCTTTGTGCTGATGGCACTGAATCAGGAAGTAAGGATAAAGCTATTATTTTTGTACCACATTTAGGTAATAAGCTCAAAAAACTCAATCTCACTGTTAGCGTTGATTCTGACTTATAGCAACCCTATATTACAGGGTAGAACTGCCCTTGTGGGTTTCCGACACACTAACTCTTCTTTTTTAAAGTTTATTGGCACTTCATCCATATATCACACAATTCAGTAGTTCAATTGTAATAAGAGATGTACAATCATTACCATAATCAACTTTAGAATATCATTATTTTGTTTCATGGTTAAATCACTTTTAAAATGAGTTGTGTAATCACCATCAGTTTTAGTGCTCCCTCCCCCTTCCAACATACATTATTCGCTTCCCCAACCCCCTCACCCTCTCTGTCTCTCACCCCCACCCCTAACTCCCCTATAAATCCTTTCCTCAGACCTTATCTCTATGCATCTGCTACTTCTGTGCTTCACAAACTGGGAAACCCAACAGAAATAATAGAAAACAGAAACAAAATCGTGATATGGATAAAATAATAATGATTCAAAGATAAAAATACAAATAATTAGCAAGAAAGAAAAGACCACCATCAACATTTAAAAGGCCAGGGAAGATATTTTTATCACGGAACAAGCTAGAAATATTTGCATCTGGAACAATTTCAGGCTGGGTCATAAGGGAGGTCAACTGACAAAATATCAAGTTTGTTCCAGTATAATTATGATTACAATGATCTCTATCTGATAGTAAAGCTGCTTGAGACCCTTGCCTTTGGTCAGAGGGGAAATCCCAGCAGCTTAATCTACTAGATACTCTACAGGTGGTTTCGGGGCTCCTACTGTCCTCCATAGCCTTCTATAAATTGGGTGTTCGTAATTTAGGCTCTGATACTTTTCACTTTGTCATATTTGAATTTTGTTGCTGTTATCGGTGGATCACACTAGCTGGTGTGCTTCTTCCATATGGACTTATTTGACTCCTTTCTTAGATGGCTGCTTGTTCAAATACAAGTCTTTAAGACTCCAGGCACTATTCAGATTGATAGCCAGGCGGCATGTTTTCTTCACAACACTTTGCTGTAGCGCCCATATCTTCAGTGACCATTTCACTAAGGTTAGCAGGGCCATGTTATCAGAACTAACTGTTCTTGGATTGGGGCTCGAGTTAATTTGGGGCCCAGAATCCACCTGCTTGTTCCTGGGATATGGAATATGCATGACTCAAGTTTACTTTAGTGGTTGTGTTATGACAAATTCACAGCCCCATAAGACAAACTACCTGAACAATAGCAGCTAGCCAACTAGCAGGCAACAAAAGACAAACAAAAATAAGACAAAGAAACAAAAACAAGCAGACTGAAGGCAGGAAAACAAAAACCCATAGAAACAAAAAAGTAAAACATTGTCAATTACCCCCCTGGGCGATTACACTGGGAGCATCAGTTTGTCCAGTGGCACAGCACTCTGAGCTCTCTGTAGGTATGCAAATATACTTCCACTGTGGACTGTAACCCATGGGTTGTTCGGTCCCCCTTTCGAGTGAACTGTGTTCAACCTACGCATGGGAATGGGTCCCAGGAGGAAACCTGGATCAATCCTTCCAAGTTCAAATCCCTGCCCAACAGATCAAAAGCCACACAGTAACTCTATAACGGAGTAGAAAGTCTTGTCTTTCTCCCAGGGAGGGTGTGGCTGGTGGTTTAAGACTGCCGACTGTGCAGTCCAACAGGTAACCTCTGTGCCACCAGGGCTCCTTACATGTAGTTTATAGAAGCTGTTTTATTCTTATAGACAGAACTCTCTTCAGAATGGTTTTATTAAAGGTATTAGGCACTTTGTGTATGAATATTATTTATTTTTGAGCACCTATAAGGTAGGAATTACTACTCAAAACAGGTTTTTAAAAACGGATCCAGGATCCACCTGCTTTAGAGGCCATATTCTTTCAATCAAACCAAGACATTTTGGTTTAATGAAAATGTTTTAGATATTTTAATGGGGAAACTTAGTGTGTCATAAAAATTCTCTTGATCCAAGTTTTCTATGGGTTGGAAGGCTAAAGATGACTCATTTTTGTTTCAATATTGCTAAACAAAAGAAAAGTATATCACTAAAAATATTTAAGGAAGTCTTTTAAAAAAGAATCCAACTTTTAATGATCTTAATCACTCATTTTCACATTCTTTTAAAATAATCTATAATGTAGACTTTATGTCGCTCGAAACAATTGATTTTTCAAACTTAATTTTGTTTGAGTTTGAAAAATCCCATTGACGATAAGGAGAAAAAGTTGCCTTGGGCCTTTCTATTTTGGAAATAAAGGCTTTCTCTTTTGTAAATGTCAGTCATGTTCCATCTTCTTTTTAGTGAGTCATTTTTACTGTTTTGCATCCTTCAGCTTCTAATTAGTGACTTTTTAAGCCAATATAACATAAAGAATATGACTATATTGAGATAGTTTGAGAGTCTCTAGAGCCACTCTTAGGTTTAATAATGTGTTAGAAGAATTCATAGAACTCCCCGAAAGCTCTAAAACTCACTGTTTATAAACTTCTTATAGAAAATTTTATAATTACAAAATTTACAATTTTTTTACTATTGCTAAAGGGTGCAGATTAAAATTAGCCAAAAGAAAACACGTGTAGGGCAGAGGCCTTGAAATTACCTAATATGAACCTTGAGCTGCCCTTTTGTAGTTAGTCCAGTCTTAACTTTTCATAAGATTAAAGCGAAGCAGTAAAATTAGATAGAGCCAGCCAGTGATTTTCAGCAGAACTTTAGTGTTCAGAGTTTCTATTGGAGCTCCATTATACAGGCATGGCTTACTGATTAGTAACCTAAATAGTTGAGCTCAGCTCCAGGGCAACTATGCCCCCACATGAAATCATATTGCTGGTGCTTTTGGGATGCCCAACTCTCCCCACACATTATATTGTTAGGCTAGGCAGGGCAACCCAAGAGAACCAAGAAAACAAAGATATTCTTTTTTTAAAAATTGTTTTATTAGGGGCTCATACAAGTCTTATCACAATCCATACATACATCAGTTGTGTCAAGCACATTTGTA